ATGATGTCAAACTGGGTCTATTTTTTCATATGCCACTTTAATACAAAGAGGCAACTGTTTGTTGGTCATGTGACCATCCTAACCTGCCCAACCAATGGCGCGAGTTTAGGGCGGGGCTGTCTATTTGTCCAACCAATGGCGGACAGGGGAGTTGTCTGTTTGAAAACAATTTGAAAAGAGTCATTGTTTTAAAGTTTAATTATAGAGTCAATTATTATAATACATTTAATTAATACGAAACATTTAATTAATATAATCTGTCATATTCAAAAGGCCTAAATTGAGTGCTAAACATCTGTTGTTGTTTAATTTGAAAACAAATATGTTTTAGTTATATTAGATGTACACTACCATTCAAAAGTTTGTTGTTTTTTTTATGTTTTGGAAATTAATCTCTTATGCTCAGAAAGGCTGCATTTATTTAGTCAAAAATACAGTAAATTTAACAGTAATATTGTGAAATATTAAAATTTAAAATGATTGTTTTCTGCTTTAACACATTTTAAAGTAATATATATATGTGACGGCATAGCTGAATTTTCAGCAGCCATTACTCCAGTCTTCAGTGTCACATTATCCTTCTTTTTCAGGATTCTTTGATGAAAAGGAAGATCAAAAAAGCAGCATTTAAAATATTTTTTTATATTTTATAATGTTATGAATGTCTTTACTCTCAATTTTGATCAATTTAATACATTCTTGCTGAATAATTGTAATTATTTTTTTTTATTCTAAACCTCAAACCTAAAATAACCTTTTGATCAGTAGTGTATTATCTTGTGTATAATGATTATATCATAATCATGATAGTTGCACCAGCCTGAAATGAAGATGGACACAGTTTTTGTTTTATCCAGCTGTATTTACTCAGTGCAACTTATAACATCCAAATGAAAGATATAACACCAACATGTCATAAAAAAAATTAAAAAACAGAATCACTGAGTTGGAAAAAGGATCACCCCCTTGTGTCAGTATTTTGTTAAACCACCTTTTTCTTTAATTACAGCCTTTAGTCTGTTGGGATATATCTCTACTAACTTTGCACATCTAGACTTTGCAATATTTGCCCACTCTTCTTTGCAGAACTGCTCAAGTTCAGTGAAATTTGTTGTTGATTGTTTGTGGACTGCAGTCTTCAAGTCATTCCACAGATTTTCAGTGGGGTTTAAGTTAATCTTTTGAATGCCACAAAACCCCAAAAATTATCATCCTCATGCGAAGGACCCCCATCCTAAAATTTAAAAAGCAGCTATATATTATTTTATGTATGAAGACTCAAAGTGAATATTATAAATATTTAAAAAAATATTAAGAAAATATTTTGTTTCTGTTGTTACATTATTTTCTTCAGCACACTATAGTACTATACTGTTTTATGTATTACTATATTATTAATGTATTCATTTGCTTAAAACAAATGTATATTATTTAGTTATATATATATATATATATATATATATGCATATACATACAGTTGGTATAGAAAAAAATCAGCCCCCTTTAAAATGATCACATTTTATCAAACCTCAGAGTGTCACCTTTCAAAAGAGACCAAAACCATGCATATATTCCAAATGGTTCAAGAACAGCATGCAATGTACTTTGGGTACCATATGCCTATTTTATGCTAATTTTACTGCTAAGGGGTTAATAATAGACTTCACCGTGCTTCTAGGCATTGATAAAGCCTTTGATTTTTTTGTGTGTCCATCTCCTGACTTGTGCCTGTCCACAACTTTATCCCGGAGATCCTTTGATGAGTGACCCATAATTGATTCAGTGCTTCAGTTGCACTACCAAGGACTGAAATGCTCCAGGAAAGCTCTTTTCATGCTGAGCTAATCAAAATAACCACAGCTGATCACAGTTGAAAGTCAAATGGCTTTGTGTGCCATTGAGAAGGTGATTAGCTACACCTGATTGAGTTCACAAGTCATTTTTAGGAGGGGGGGTGATCCTTTTTCCAACTCAGTGATTCTGTTTTTTTTGTTGTTTTTTCTGACATGTTGGTGTTATATCTTTCACTTGGATGTTATAAGTTGCACTGAGTAAATACAGCTGGATAAAACAAAAACTGTGTCCATCTTCATTTCAGGCTGCAAAGCAACAGAATGCGATTATTTTAAAGGGGGTGATTCTTTTCTATACCCACTGTAGATGTACATTAAAATGGCTGAATTACAGGGTGATATGAATGTACCTATTATTTTTGCAATTCCGTTTTTTTGCCACTAGTGGCACAGAAATTACTCTCTTCCGCTTTAACTGATGCACTTGGTTGAAGTGATAAATGGATTTGTTTATAATAGGTACAGATGTGAAGAGGAAGAGATTAATGAACAAATGAATAAATTAATGAATGGAGGGGATGAAGGCGCTACATTTCCGTTTTCAAGTCATTAGCGATGCATTAACCCCATAATCTTATGAATAAACGTATGAGGCTTGAATGTGTTTACTGTACCGCAGGTAAGCCATGTCACACCGGTCTCATCAGCTCATCAGGTTGGGTTGACAGAGCCCACTCCTGGTCCCTGTGGAGAACGTGCTGGCTGCAAATAGATCCCTGCCAAATTGATCACAGATAATTTCACGAAGCACAAGATGCGTCAATCAGGGCTGTTCTTCCCCAGAGACTCTCCCTCAAGGACAGACGGTGGGAAGTGTTGTGCTGACATCAGCATATTTCAAGATGCATTTAGCATAGATGAGTGACATACTCCAGTTGGCACGAGATACGGGACAGATTGCACCTGAGTGTGTGGTAAATTGCATTTTATTTGGCACAGCGTAATGACAAACAACCATGTTTATGGTTGAATAGGGTCGTCGTCTTTTTTAATATAGATAAATGGATGGATAAATGCTGTTTTCTAGTTCATTGTAATCAGAGACCTGGAATATAACTTTTAAGCGCCTATTTTTAATGGTTTGGGGTCTAAAGAATGAAAAAATTTAATTTGCTATTTCAAATAAATTTTGTTCTTTTAAACTGTCTATTAATCAGAGTATCCTGAAAAAAAAACTGTATCACAGTTTCCCTCCAAAAAGGAGTAGTTCCAACCAAAACAATTTTCTTAAAATGTACTCATCCAAAGCCATCCAAGATGTAGATGAGTTCATCAGAACAGATTTGGAGAAATTCAGCATTACATCACTTCCTCACTATTGGATCCTCTGAGGTGAATGGGTGCCGTCAGAATGAGAGTCCAAACAGCTGATAAAAACATCACAATAATCCACAAGTAATCCACAAAACTCCAGTACACCATTTAACATCTTGGAAAGTGAAAGAAACAAAAAGAAGTTACAGTTTAAATTTAAAACAAATGATTATTGTGATCATGTTTTTATCAGCAGTTTGAACTCTCATTCTGACGGCACCCATTCACTGCAGATCATCCATTAGTGAGAAAGTGATGTAGTACTACATTTCTTCATATCTGTTGATGAATGATCAATGAATAA